GAGGGGGAGAAGGAAGCAAGGGGAAGGGGGAAGGGAGGGGGAGAAGAGGAAGGAGAAGGGGGAGAAGAGGGAGGGGAAGGGGAAGACAGGGAAGGGAAGGAAGGAAAAGAAAGAAAGAGAGAGAGAGAAGGGAGGGAGGGAGGGAGGGAGGGAGGAAGGAAGGAAGGAAGGAAGGAAGGAAGGAAGGAAGAAAACAGAAAGACAGACAGACAAAGAAAATCATTTTCTTTGCAAAAGTAAACCTGTTAGAGCCAGCATGGTGGCACACAGCAGTAAACCTAGTACTCAGGAAGCATATTTGCAAGCATCTTCAGTCTGAGGCCATCATAGCCTACAGTGTGTTCACAAGACCCTGACTCAAAAAAGGGTGCTAGGGATACAGCCCAGTGACACAGCACTTGCTTAGTATGCATGAGGCCCTAGAGTCAATCCCCAGACGAGGGAGGAAAAAGCTCGCACTTCAGAAGTACAGACAGGAGGATCAGAAGTTCAATGGCATTCTCAACTACACAACAAGTTTGAGAACAATGTAGGCTACAAAAGCCACCATTTCAAAACACTAAAATAACAGAAACAACAACAACAACAAGTAAATGTTTTTAGGATTCAACAACTATAAATTATAATCTTATATATTCAAATATGAATCAAATCTGTTCTTTCTCCCAAATAAATTCCTGATCTGCTCCTCTCTCTGCAAAGCCAACCCCAAATAAAATCTGCTGTTCACTCACTCACTCACTCATTTCCAACTCAGGAAATAGTAAACCATCCCAGCTGCCAAGCCTAAAACTCTGGGGTCCTATACTTGACTTGTCCCCAGTCATTTTCCCACACCTCATACCCAAACCTAGCACTTGCAACTGCCTCTGTCTGAGCTGTTCACACCTCAGCTCTATCCTCGTGGCTGGTCTGGCCCTTCACCAAACCTTTGCTCAAAGGATATACTGGTGAGGCATTCTCTTCTGCAACTACAAACTCACTGTTCCAGGCTTTGACAATGGTCATCCTGTGAGGTACTATTTACTTTACTTAGCTGCTTGCTGTAGAAGAAAACTACAAAAAGGAGTGGGTATTTGTTTTGCTCTTCCCTTTATCCCTAGTGATTGGCACACAGAAGTTACCCCACTGCATGCAATGCCAAGTGCCTGTAGGCCAGTTACTCAAGAGGTTAAAGAAGGATGATGAGCCCAAAGATTCATGGCTAGCTTCGGAGACACTGTCCTGAAAATCTTTATAAATAAAAGAACAAAGAGGAAGCATGGGGCTGAAGAAATGGCTTGGCATTGAGAGCACTGGCTGCTATTTTAGAGGACCCAGGTTTAATTCCCAACACTCCCATGGCAGCTCAAGACTGTAACTCCAGTTCGAGAGCTTCCAACATCCTCACACAGACACACATGCAGGTAAAACACCAATGCACATAAAAATAAATACTCAAATAACAATAAAGAGGAAGCATTCCAGTATTCATTGATGATTGATAATCCTACAAACATTGTATTTGGAAGCATTCAAGTATACAATGGGTGACTGGTAATCCTACAAACATTCTATTTGCAAAATTAAACAGTCAAGGATACAAAAGAAACATAAGTAGAAATTAGAACTAACCCATACATTAAGGAATTGCATTGAAGTTTTTTTTCTTTTTTCAAATAAAAACAAGTTGAGAAGAGGAAGAGAAGGAGTTGCTCATCTTGTTTTAAGTGGCCAGTGTAGCATTTTAAATGCTAAAAGATGACACTGAGCCGCACACCTTTGATCCCAGCACTCAGGAGGCAGAGGCAGGTGGATCTCTGTGAGTTTGAGGCCAGCCTGGCCTACAAAGCAAGTTCCAGGACAGCCAAAGCTGTTACACAGAGAAACCCTGGGGGGGTGGGGGGGGGAGCGGGAAAGGACACTGAAATCCAAGCAAGCAGCAAATGCCCCTCATAAAATCAAAGCAAATGGGAAGGCTCTGCAAGCCAAGAAGACACTCTGAAAGCGGTCCAGTCACAAAAAGATCACTACCTTCTAGCAACCCACCATACTAGGGCTCTGGGGGAGCCCAAATTGCCCTGGCAAGAGCGACTGCAAGAGAAACAAGTTTGCCATCATCAACCACCGAGCACTGAGTCAGCCATGAAGATAGTTCTAAAAAGCTCAACTATAGACTTGTTCTAAAACTTTATTTTAAAATATATAACTAATAAAGTTAATAAAGCTAAAACAGTGGCAGAATTTAGCTTTGTAATTTTCAATTCTCTGCCTCTATGTAGTCCCTGGGTTTACAGCTGCACACATACAACTTAAGAATTTGTTATCGCCTTGAATCCCAGCACTCTAGAGGCAGAGGTAGGTGGATCTCTGAGCTCGAGACCAGCCTGGTCTTCATCGCAGAGTTTCATGTCAGCCAGGGCTATACAGAGAAACCCTATCTCAAACAAAACAAAATAACAACAACAAAAAAGAATTTGTTAGCTACACAGTCTCCAGCCCCAGCAGTTGAACCAGCTCTGCAGATGACCCAAGACTGGAAGACATACTCAAGCTTTGGAGGAACTGTTCAAATTTACCAAAGAATAGTTACCACAACATTAGCCAATGAATGACAAGGAATCTATCATTACAGTCTCAAAGTCTACAAATGATGTATCAACTAAAAAACAAGCAATTTCTTTCTTCAAATACAAAAGAAAAAGCAAATACTTTCGATTGATTACAATATTAAAACTAAGCAAACCATGAGCACATCTTTGTAAAAAAAAAAAAAAAATTAAAACCGTAACCCCGGCTTCCAATCTGCAGATCCCTTTACTTCAATGCCAGCATGATCACATTTCTAAGACCTCAACGAAATGCCCTCAATTTTAGAGGCTGGCAAGACACTCATGGGAGGGCACTTGTCCAGTGTGTCTAAAACCCCAGGTTTAAACTCAAGCACCACAAAGCACTAAGTATCTATTTCTATTTAAGTATTATTTTTAAAGTGCAATGATGAATATATTAAATACCTGACAGTCCTACTTATTTCTCTCATTCACCCTTTTGCTCTCTATAAAGATCTTGGCATATAACGGACACCGAATTGGCATTCCTGGGGAAAAGAATGAGTACTGACTCTGAGAAAATTCATTTTTTTTTTATGGTTCCTGCCTTGAGGTGATTATAAATAGAGTTGAGAGGTAAGGAAAACACATGAAAAGCTTTTCTTAAAAAAGTGTACAAGAAAATTAAGAACTTCACCTGAGAAACTCTGATTATTATTATTTTTTAATTGGTGGCAGAAAGAACTGTGAATTCTGACCAGAGTGAGACTAGGAACTTGCAGTTCGCCTTGGCCTCTGAACCAGACAATGCTCCGTTTCAATTTAAAAAGGTACGTGACACAGCATTCATTCCACCCTAAAACTATCATCAAAGGAAGGAATACAATAAGTACAGAGAATGCTTATTCTCTTTAAAAAAAACTTTCCATACACGCTTTTAAAAGCCAAAGGACGGTCCTGGAAAAAAAAAGTTAGAACATTTTATAGACACAATGGTCTGCTGGATTCAGGACCTCCAAAGGCTCCAAACAGAGTCTCTTAGGAACAGCATGCCCTAACACACCATCAATCCCTTGGCCCCCCCGCCAAGAGCCTATACTCTGGACAGCAGCCTGGGAGACTGCTCGCAGCACCCACCCGCAACGGCAGTACTCGGAACGTCCTCTCCCTCCCCGGGCTGGTATCAAACAGCCGCATCTCCCTCCAAAGGAAAAAACAGAGGGCGGGGGAGGCAGAAGAAAGCTCGCAGGGAATCATCTACCGAGGAGGGCAGTGAGAGAACAGACCCGCAGGCTGTGAGGGTGGCGTCCTCTCGGTGCCAGCCCAGTCACCAGGAACACAAGCCCCGCACTTCCCCATCCCCAAGTCACGCCCCTCGCCGGTTGGACGGCAGACTCCAGCAACAGCCCCGCCACCTGTGCCGCACCCTGTCCCCGCCAAGCCCGCCAAGAGGCGACTGCCCCGTCCCACCCGCAGCCAGCAGCCCCCTGGAGGCTTCGCTCCCCTTCCCGTCCATCGCGCCGAGTGACAGGTCCCGGGGCGGGGGGGTGGAGGGGGGGGAGAGGAGACCGCAAACGCACGCCGCCCGGGACTCCCGGTGCAACCGCGCACAGACGCCCTCCAGCAGGCGCAGGGGTGCAGACCGAACGTTCCCGACGGTCAGGCGGGGGTGGGGGGGTTGGGGGGGTGAGGGACGGACAGCGAGCGTCCAGGCCTGGCCCTTCTCCGTGGCCCACGCCGGGCGGGGGTGGCACTTACTGCGGAGGTTGTGGATTAGCTCCGAGTGGCTGGCGCCGCCGGATTTCCAGGCCATCGCGAAGCACACCCGGAGCAGGTACAGAACCACCTTCAGCGCGGCGACGGTCCCCAGCAATTTCCCCAAGAGTGAGACCACCTCCCACACGGTCACCGCCCCGCCGCTGTCCCCGCTCGAGCGGCCGCTGTTACTGCCGTCGCCGCCGCTACCGCTGCCGCCACTGCGCGCTCCCGGCATCCCCCGCGGCACGCATGCGCTCTGTGACGCCGCGCAGCCCCGGGGTGCGGCCGGGCGGGGCCGGAGGCGGGGGGAAAGGCCTGGAGAGACCGGGGGTTAGCCGGTGGGTGGCAGCCGGTGCCGGGTGACCGTGGCGAGGTCGATCGAGGTCCGGGCGAGTCAACGCTGCTGGGTTTCCCCTTTGCTGAGGCTGGCGCCTGCCTCCGTCCTGCGGCCGGCGGGGTGGCGCCCTGCGCGGTGCAACGCGTTCCTGGCTGCAGCTCCGGCGGACCCAGCGCGGCGGCGGCGGCGGCGGCGGGATGGCGGGTCCGACGTGTGTCGCCGCTCCGGGGCTCCGCAGTCGCCGCTCCGTCAGCTGTTGCGAGCGGCGGGTCTGCTCCTATGGCTGTGCAGATTGCTAGATGGTTGGGCTACCCTCCGTGTCCTGCCTCACCCAACCCGGTGCACTAACATTTAGGCTGGTAGAGTCACGGCGTGTGTGATGGGGCCAGAATGATCATCTGAACCGAGCCCAAGGGCAAAGGCCCCTCTTCCAGCTCTAAGTCCACCAGCCTCTGTCACAAAAGACGGTGCTGGCGAAGCAGAGACTTTGGGGCTCTGGTTTGTTTTCAGCTCTGAAAGCGCAAAATCAAGGTGGAAGAATACCGTGACACGGACTTGGGGGTAGGGATGTTTTTCTGGTTGAGAGCAAGACTAGCCGAGGGCTGTAGCTGGTTACAAAATACCAAAGTATCCTATGGTGAAAGTGTTATTCTTCCCACCCAAGTGTGAGTTTCAACTGACGAAGCCTCACAAATTACACCCGGAGACTGGACACTAGTTTTATTCTTTCCATCTCTGCTAGATTCTGAGAAGTTGACGGGAAACACTGCCTGCCGCATCCAGAGTGTGCTAACTAAAATTGAGTCGCAGCCATTGCTTCAGTAAACTTTCAGGAAGGAAACAAGACATCTGTGGTGCGCTATGACTTCAGGAGCAATGTCCAAATTACAGTTCTTACCAAACTTCGTCAAATGCAACACTCAACATCCTTCCAATCTGAAATGTTCATTATCTGTTTTCATGGATCCTGTAACTATAAATGTCAGTGTTCTTCAACTTTAAGGATCAAGCAACGAGTTTTAGTTAGTTTCCTATCCAATACCATCTTCTCTTCGAGTCTGAGTAAAAAGTTCAGTCTAGAATCTCCTACCTGTTAGATACCTTCATCTGACTGTGCTTTTCTGTAGGGGTCAGGATGGTTATAGCTGACTTTAATCGTTACCTTTTCCCACTCCTCAGACTGTTAACTATCACCCAACCTCAGTTTAGGTGAGGCCGTTGGAAGACTTGATTTTACCATTTGTGTATGATTGGTCACCTCATAAACTGTCTTTTGCAAAACCTACCATTTACAGTGACTGGGATATTGTATGGGGGCAGAAATAGCCAGGTTGGGTAACAGTCTTCATGCTGAAAAACAAAAAAACTCGAGCTCTTTACAATCTGATAACTCTCATAATGTATCATGACCCCTTTTAAAGAAACGGCCAATGCAGTTTTGAATTCCTATAGTGTAAAGGAGAATAGATATACCAAAAAGTCCTTCCTCTCAAATTATATAGGATTTACATTCTAGTCATGAAATCTAGAATTAAAACTATCTAGAGTCTCTAGCTGGTAGTGCTGGGTCTAGTTAGAACAACATGGGCTGAGGGTATCAGAAAAAAGTACACAGAGGTATTGGTCCTTGAAGGGCGGACAGACAATGAGAAGTAGCGAGGAGTGGAGGGATATTAGGTGTTACCAGCAGCTCAGAGGCAGCATGGAACTAGGATTCAGGGCCTGGTGACACAGTTCCCAGCAAACACACTAATTTCATGTAGAAGTAAACTGACCAGGTTTGCAGAGCAAGAAAAAGGTATCAAAACTAAAACCAGAGGGCCCGGAGAGATGGCTCAGCAGTTAAGAGCACAGGTTGCTCTTCCAGAGGACCTGGCTTCAATTCCCAGCACTTAACAAGGTGGCTGACTGGAATCCTAACCCTGAGGAGCTGCACACTCAGTTCTAGCTTAGGGGGTTAAACATTTTTTTTAAGGTTTATTTTATGTGTATGATGAGTGGTTTGTTTTTGTTTTTGATAGGGTCTCAGTATATCGCTCTGGCAGTTTGGAACTCATTATGGAGACCAGACTGGCCTCAAAGGGACAGAGATCTGCCGGGCATGGTTTTGTCCACATGTGGGGATGTACACCACGTGTGTACCAACGGATAGTTGTGAGCAGCGATGTAGGTGCTGGGAACTGAACCCAGGCCATCTGGAAGAACAGCAAGTGCTGCTAAAGTTGTTGAGCAAGCTCTCCAGCCCTAAGGTTTTAAAAACATTTTCTCTGTGCAATGAAGTTCACCTAAGTGCTTGTGGCTGGTACGTTTCCTCCTGCAATTTTTTTTTTTTAAATTTTTACTTTTAGATTTTTCTCTGACAAGACTAGAGAGATGACTCAGCAGTTAAAAGTATTTGCTGTTCTCCCAGAGGGCTAGAATTGGCTTCTCAGTTCCCACATAGGTATGGCTCATACCTGCCAATAACTCCAGCTTTAGGATATCCAGAGCCTCTTCAGGCACCTGCCCTCACCTGCCCTTACATGCACATATACACATGCAGACACGTACATATGAATAACTTAAAGTAAAGTAAAAATGAAGTTATTTTTAGGGGCTGGAAAGATAGGCCAGCAGTTAAAAATACACGTCGTTCTTCCAGAGGACCTGAGTTCATTTCCTAGCTCCCACATGGCAGTTCACAACCTTCTGTAACTTCAGTTCCGGGGACTCTGACCCTCTCTTCTGGCCTCACCACCAAGCGTGAATATACACAATAGGCACAAACATACATGGAAACAAAACATTCACACACATAAAATTTGAAAGTCACTTTAAAAAATTAAGCCGGGATTCAGGAGGAAGAGCCAGGTGGATCTCTGTGAGTTCGAGGCCAGCTGGGGCTACAGAGTGAGTTCCAGGAAAGGCGCAAAGCTACACAGAGAAACCCTGTCTCGGAAAAAAAAAAAAATTAAAAAATATTTAAAAAGATTTATCAAAAAATAATAAATCTAATCGTTTTCCAATCTCTGAATCTGTCATGGATTTTTTGAGGGGGTTGGTGGTGGATAAGGGCATAAAAATATATTCGATAATAAAATAAAATAAATATAATTAGGTAGTGGAAGTATAAAATCCAGTATGAAGCTCCCCAGCTTCTGAATGGCTGCGCTAAATGTATAGAAGTTCATTGGATTGTAGTCTTTGGGTCAAGTTAATTTTGGTGTGTGATGATTTTTTTATTTGCAACATTTTTATAGTAAAGTTTTTTATAAAGAAGAAAATAAATAAAACAAACTTCTAGCATTATTGCACAAATAGTATATCGTCAGTGTTCCTAGACTGATTTCGCCTTAGAAGTGTGTCATCGCTGAAGGTTTTAGGTGCCCGGTCTTTGTTCAGATGCAAAGACTGAGCATCAGACACCTTTAGTCCAGGGGCTGGCGCGTCCTACTGCTGACGAGAATTGGCTCCCGGCAGCCACCGTCTCCCTCGTGAGTTCTCATCCAATCAGAACTGCGCAGGAAGGGGCGGGCCGGAGGAGCGCGCAGTGTGCTTTCTGCTGAACCTTCTAGTTGATTTCAGCATGGAGGAAATTTATGCTAAGTTCGTGTCTCAGAAAATTAGCAAAACCCGCTGGCGGCCAGTGCCTTCCGGGAGCCTGCAGACCGCAGAGACCTTCGCTACGGGCTCTTGGGACAATGAGGTACCCGGTCCCGGGCGGCCCCGGCTGCTCTGCTCCACGCCCCCCGCGCTGGCGCGCGAATGCAGCCTCTGGCTTGCCAATCTCCTGCTTGGCTGCCCGCTTACCTGAGAGCCCCGGTGCTGTACCTGAGCCTCGGATTTGGTTTTAAACCCTCACCAAGTGTGTAGTCATACCGTCCGAACCAGGGCACACCTCTGATCTTTTCAGCTCTTAACCATATCGTTTGTCTTGAGATGCTTTTGAAGAAGCAGGGTAGCGCGAAAGGCAATCTGAATTTTGCTTGCCTAGAGTTGACATTTTCGTCACCCTCAAGGTAAAACTTTCTGCTTTGCAGGAAAATTGCGTCTCACTGTGGTCTATTGGAGATTTCGGAAATTTGGATTCTGATGGAGGGTTTGAAGGAGACCATCAATTGCTGTGCGATATCAGACATCATGGTGATGTCATGGATTTGCAGGTAAATCTGAGTTATCCCCCAAAGCTAACTTTGGAAATTTGAGAATACATTTAGAGATAATGTAGCGCCTTCTAGTTTGTCTGCTCTCACCCCCGGTTTACAGGACACTAATCTCTGAATTGTAATTTGCCACATCATTGTTCAGGCTCTTAGTGAGAGAAATGTGGCTAAGAAAGTGAATTCAGGTCACTCAGTTTTAAAATTAATTGCTCAAGCCTGGCTTGGGGGTGCAAGCCTCTAATTCCAGTCCATGGGAGGCAGAGGCAGGAGGGACTCACAAGGCCAGCCTGGGCTACGTAGTGAGACCTTATCTCAGAGAAAATGACAATAGCATTTGCCCATCTACGTGCCAAACGCTGTTTGGTGAGTTTTATACAGGTATGTTAATTTGCACTGCATGTCTGTGAGTCACGTTTTATCATGAGTTGTGTGTGATGAGGATGATCTCAGGACCTCACATGTCCTAGGGAAGTGCTCTCTCTACCTGTGAGTGTATGCATCCCAGCCCTCAAGTACTGTTCACTACCTCACTAATCAGATAGATGAGAATGGTATCTTTTGAACATATATAAAAAATACGGTGCAGGATTGTTCTTCTGTGGTTCCTTTAGCAACTTAGTAAAAAATCAGTGTTTCCATGTTCAAGGTTTATTAAGACTCAGAGAACTTAGGTTATTTAAAAAGATCTCAGGACCAGTAATAGATTTTCAAAGCTGGACTGGTGACAGATGCTTGTAGTCCCAGCTCCTTAGGAAGCTGAAGTAATAGGAGCTCAAGATGAGTGTGGGCAACAGAGAGCTCCTCCCCCCTCATCAAAACGAAATTCTATATGAATTCAGATGCCATGCATTTTACTCAGTAAAAAGCTGCCTATGCTTTGGAATAAGACATTTCTAAACTTTTATCATTGCAGCCCAAAATTAAAAATATGGAGTAAACTTAACTATTCATCCTTCATGAAAATACTCCTAATTTATATAAATTTTTTTTTTTTTTTTTACTTTCAGATGTTAACACATCTCAT